TTTTTTTTTTTTTATAGATTTGTAAAACTGATCTCTCTGAAAGGGAACAACATACTTCAAAACAGGACCTCTTTGCTATGGATTTGTCCTATCCATTTTTCTAAAGGGACAAGGTGGATCCTTATATGCCCTGACTCTCCTAACAGGTTGAAAATGGGCATTTCAAAGCTCTTCTGTCTTTAATTGGCATGCCATATGAAGTAAGTAACTTGATGTTAAACAAGCTAGCTGCTTTTCTTTACCTTGCTGAAAAGCAGTGCTGCAGGTATGTATGTAGACAGACCTGCCTGTACTCACACGCCCATTATACGTAGAGCAGGTTTTCCATATTTTTGCATTTCATAACTTGTGGGTATTTTTTATTAATGGGAGGAAAGGACTTTAATTCTCATCGTCTTCTCCCTCCACCATATACATTTCTGGGCTCTCAAGAAATCTACAAAGGAAAAACTTCCTGGTGACACACCTATGGAAATGGAAGGCCAAGTTCGCTGTTTGATTCTTTCAAACACTCCATGATTTTCTTAGCAGATAAGGAGAAAGACGTCCTTGTTTGACACTTGACACTTTTCTAAAACTGTAATAAAATCCTCCTCTGGTAGAGTCAAATCTTGATTGCTGGTGGATTAACCAGACTTAGAAGCTTCCTGACCTTCTCTTTGCTGTTGCTGGCCTTGCAGTCATTTCACTGCTCATTAGCACTTCCTCCAGAGCGTCTCCCATCCAAGCCTCTTGCAACAGTAGAAGGCAAGAGGAGCTAAAACTCACTTCAGCCTTTTCTGCTGTGTTATAGCAGCTCTGATAAAGGACATGGATAAGGACGAGGCTGAAACTGTTGGTTAAAAGGTTTGAGGATTAACTGAAAATTTAATTCATCCTTTCTTTCCCTCTCCCTGCCACAGTAGATGGTTGTGAGCTGGCACTGTGTCAAAACCAGGCTGTTCCTCAACCCCAAATTTCAGCCCCTTTCATCCCAGTCTTTGTTAAAGGGCTTTTTTTTTTTAAACCAGGGGCTCTAAATTTCTAATTGTGCCTTTAGTGTAGTAAACCTTAGACATTTTAAATTGTCACTTTACAAAGAAGCAACTTGCTTTTTCTTTCCCCACCCCCGGCTCAAGTCATTAATGCCTAAAAGTAACTCATGTCACTATTTAGGTTTGGTGAGGAACTTCCAAAAACTTATATAGCCTCTTTCCGAGTCAAGGGAGAAAATAAAGAGGAGCTTCACAGAAGAGAAATAAAGCAGTTGTGCAGAACACGTTTAAAAGGCACGTTAAGTCAGTTTTTGTCTATGGCTCTTTCCCTTTATGGCATATGTTATATATTGACAGGGATTAAGTTTCTCTCCTGAATGCAACAATACAGAGTCACAGGGAGCTACTGTACTTCCCAAAGCCACAGGCACCAGCACAAGCAAACGGCAAATAGAAAGGTATCTCACAAAGAACCAACCAGGTTAGTTAAAAGTAGAGGGCTTTGCTTCATCTTTTGCAATTCTGCACCTTTTGCATTTCTCTTCCCCTCTG